GATATTTAGTTCAATTCAGTCAATGATCTATGTTGACTGAATTTAGTCTATTACATGAACTTTGTACCTATAAAAGACACGTTTTGTGGTCTAATTTTTTATTTTTTTCCTGAATATTCATTAGCATTATCTTTTGATTTAAAATTTTCTAATTCCTAACTAAGATAATATACCAGGAGTTATGTTAAGATTGAAGATAGATATCTCAATGAAATAAGACCTTTGTTTTTAAATAATGTATTAGTCAATGTTCTTTTGGTTAAAAGTTGTAGAAATATCACTCAAATTACTTAAGCATGACTACATATATTGCTCAAATAACTCAAAGTCCATGAACAGAATTGGTTTTAGAGAATATAGGTTTCTATATATGTTTTTAGGGAGATATGGTGCACTTATGGATAAAGAATTACACTTTGAACTCAAAATCAAATCATTCAAATTCATTAGCTGCTCCTTGAGAGAAAGATAGCCAATCTTATCTTCTGCTATTTTCAGCCTCTGAAGATCCACTAGAGGGTCAACTGTGAGTCCTCTGTAACTCAATGGACACTGTAACACAAAATGTCTTTGTCTGATTCATTGTCTCTCACTCTTAGAATTTATTACTTGTTTATTGTCATAACTACTTTTCTTCTTTGCTACAAATGAATTTCCATACAGATGGTAAAGATGAACTTATTAATATGAACAATTCCAAGAATACAACAATCCTATTTAGCACTCTTTGAGCTTTTCTCACTCTTAATATATATTTAAAAATTTAATCTCACTTGAGTTATAAATTATTATGCCTAGAGTTAGAAAACAGTATTAGAGTTTAGATAATCTAATAATGCACCAGATACTGAAAAATACAAAGATAGAAAATATCCTCCCATGAAATTTTCAACTTCAGAAAAAGTAACAGAGGGTCAGTTATGAGTCTATTTTAATTTGATATCAATGAAGGGTTTTGTTTTTCTTTAAGATAATCAAAATAACACTAAAAAAGTTCTAAAGGACTCTCAAGAATCCATAAAAAGCATTCAATGAGGCTTTAAACAGATTAGTGTATGACCTAGCCAAAGAAAGAAAATAGTTGCTTGAAGTCAGACCTCTCAAAATGTATGCTTAAAATGAAAACCAGAAATAGTAATATCAAATAGAATGCGACACTATCTCCAGGTTATAAACCATTAGGATATCTGTAAGGTATCTTGATTTTAGAAACTCAGTAGGAAACTTTCTAGTGTAGTTTTTCTTTACTACAATGATCAAAGAGCTAAGTCAGGATAAATTACTAGTTAAAATAACTCTCCTTACAGAATGCTACAGAGCCTCCAAGAAAAAGATTGACAACCAATTACAAAATGGGCAAAAGACGTGAAAACACTTTTCACAGAGGAAGACATTTACATGGCCAACAGACACATGAAGAAATGTTCAAAATCACTGACAGTAAGAGAGATGCAAATCAAACCCACAATGAGATACCATCTCATTGCAGCAGCAGTGGCAAAGTTTCAGAATAGCAAGAAATTAATGTTGGAGAGGATGCAGAGAGATAGGAACTCTCATACACTATTGATGGGGTTGTAAAATGGTACAACCACTCTAGAAGTCAGTTTGGTGTCTCCTCACATAGCTGAACGTACAAATCCCATATGACCCAGCTACTCCACTGCTAGGAATATACACTGAGTAAAAATTACGACTGAGACACAAATAGAAACTTATATAGCAAAGGGGCTGGAGATGGAAAATCAAATGAGACACAAATAGAAACTTATATAGCAAAGGGGCTGGAGATGGAAAATCAAAAGGACCAAACTCGCTCAGCATTTCTTAATGTGAAAGAACTAAAAAAGAAATTCAATCTATACATTTCAATGCTTAAGGATGCTATGGAAAGAATATTGAATGATTCAAGAAAATTAAAAGAAGATGGAAGGAGTATACAGAGTCATAGTACCAAAAAAATTAGCTGACACAGAAGAATTTCAAGGAACAACATATGATCAAGAGACAATGGTGATAAAAGAGGAAGTGCAGGATGCACTGAAGGACGTGGCAAAATATATAGCCTCAGGATTTGATGGAATACCAATTGACGTATTTCAGCAAACAGATGCTACCCTGTGTGTGCTCACCAACTTGTGCCAATAAATTTGGAGGACAACTACTTGGCCAAATGACCCAAAGAGATCCATATTTATTGCCATTCAAAAACTTAAAAAAAAAGATGACTGTAAAGAGTGTGGAAATTATTGAACAATATCACTAATATCACCCAATAGCAAAATCCTGCTGAAGATTATCCAGAAATGACTGATGACACAATCTTGCTTGAAGAAGGCTTGAAGTACTTGCTGCAAAAGGTTAAGGAATGTAGTCTTCAATATGGATTGAAGCTTAACATCAAGAAAACAAAGATTCTCAACACTGTGACAATTGGTAGCACCATGATAGATGGAGAAGAGATTGAGGTTGTTATCAATTACAGTTTGCTCGATTCCACAATCAACACTCCTAACACCAGCAGTCAGGAAATCAAAAGACTAATTGCATTGGGAAATCTGCTGTCATAGATGTCTCCAGAGCCCTAAAGAGCAACAATTTCAGTCTGGATACAAACATGCTCCTAAACCAGGCCGTGGTCTTCTCAATTACTTGCTATGTTTCAGAGAGCTGGATAATGACTAAGGATGACAGAAGAAGAATCAATGCCTTTGAGTTGTGGTGCTGGAGAAGTCTTAAACATACCATGAGCTGCCAAGAAAAAAAAAAAATATGTCTGTCATGGAGAGGGTGAAACAAAGTGTCTCCTTGAATACTAGAATTTTGAAGCTCTGTCTCACATATTTTGGGCACATGGTCAAGAGAGACCGAGCCTTGGAGAAGGACATCATTCTCAGAAGGGTAGGGAGAGAGGGCAGGAAAGGAGAACCCCAGAGGAGATACAGTATCTAGGGCAATGGGGGTTGGTGTGTAGGAATTACTGAGGCTGGATCAGGATAGAGAAGGGTTCAGAGCTGCTGTACATAGGGTTAATATACATCACAGGCGACTCAACAGCACAGCTACAAACTATATTGGTTGGGTGTTTTTTTTTTAATTTTTTTAAGCCTCTTTAGAGTCAATAAGACCTCGTGGAGGGTCATGTATTTAAGGTTAGTTGCTATTATACGTTGGAGGAACATTCTTTTTTCTAAATATTTTTACCATATATGGAACATTCTTTTAAGTAGTACAGCACTGTTCTGTCAACATGCTGTACTGAGGTAATCTGGGGTTGTTGGGATGCTGAGTCTTGTGTCATTGGGGTGTCAAATCCATAACAGTTACCCATGGTGGACAGTGTTTGGTGGAACTCCCAGTTTAGGACAGGTTTGGAAGCAGGAGTGGTATCCACTTCCTAAACAACATGTCTCTAGAAACTCTACGGACTTGACAAATTTCAATAGTTATAGAAAGGCTTCAGGCCTTTTGTTCATAGGGTTGCTATGAGTTGTACTAGACCTGAAGGCAATCAACAACAAAATATCAATGCAATGTTTATAACACTGTTATTCATCATTGCAAGAACATGGAAACAACCCAAATATCCCATCACAATCAAATGGATTGAGAAATTGTGGTACATTCACACAGTGGAATACTGCATAGCACTCAAGAGCAACAATTTCAAAATTACTGTATAACTTGGGAGGGACTGAGGAGCATTACGCTGAGTGAACTAAGTCAGCTTCATAATGTCAAATACTTTATAACACCATTATTGAAGAAATAGAAAAATAATTAATAAAAGTGTATGAGGATTTGGGGGGAGATAAGCAGAGGGGGGATGAGGATGGGCAGGGGATAAATCATAGGGTTGTATCCTTTGTTGGGTGGAGGGAGGAGTAGGTAAACAACATGAGAAAGATTAGGTGGAGATATGAAAAGAAAGGATAATGGTAGTCATAGTACAATGATGATTAATTTTATAAAGCGTAATGAATGGGATGATTGTATGAAACACCATGTGAATGAAGGATATTGTGAAACACAATGTATACAAACATTGTAAACAAACCAATAGAAAATAAAAATTTAAAAAAAGATTACTAATCAACCTACACATCTGAAAAATGTAAATAAATACTGTAAGTATACCAAACAAGCTTTAAACCTTAAATTGTATATTATAGATTATTACTAAGTCAGTACTAGAGGTCCATAAATACCTAAAAATATGTTCTAAACTTTTAAACTTCATCTGAAACTATAACTTTATCTTACACAAAGTGCGCTACAAGGTACAAGGATAGTTTCCTTCTATTTTTTCTTTTGTTTCTTTCTGTTTTTGTTTTATTTTTTAATTAGTTTTCATACATTGTCTTTGAATTATGGATGTTGTGTTTTATACATTGTTTTATATTATATTTTACACAATTAATATTGATGTATACATATAATCACTGCATCTTTTCAAGTCCCCATTGGATTTTTACTATTCCTTCATCTCCACATTCACCCATTAACATCTGCTATCCTAATGATTTTTACCTCTGCTCCTTTTTTCACACCACCTTTCTTCCCTTCCCTTCCCCTTTTTGAACATTTATATATCTTAATCAGTTATCCTCCTATTTTTTTTCAAGATATTAAATCATTTATTGATTATACATGATAATGGATGATACATCAATTTCAATCCCATCTATTATTTTTTATCTGGTACCATTATTAAATTTAGATATATTGCAAAGGATGTGCCAATGACCACTTTAAAACCAAATAAATTGCTTTTAACTTTGCTTGGGTGACCATTTTAATGGGGAACTTCAGGTCACAACACATTAACTTCTCAGTTCAACTACACCAAATTTTCTGTAGACAATGGCTTTTTGTTCCCAGTCTTCTAAGTTTTTAATGAAATCTGGCATCATCCTGGATGAATTCTAAACTTCAACACTATTGGGTTATTTATTGAAATAAGATGGCTTCAGAGTAGACTAACTTTACACAGCACATTTAAAAAAAGACATTTATTCAGTGTCATGATCAGACTATTACATTTAGCAATCAATAGCATGGGTGAAAAAAAAATCTACATTTAAACCCTTGTTTTTGGAATGCTTTACACTTTCCACAGAACAGAGACTAAAATAACCTGTTAAAACAGTCACAAATACAGTCCTTGAGTTTTTTGCCCATACACATGAGTATTGTCTAAAACATGTCTTCTTTGTAGCAGCTAGGCCCTGCCACCACTGTGCCTGGCTGAGTTCACAAATCTGTTGTAACCTGTAGCTTCCCTGTCACTTCTCTGGCTCTCCTCTCCTGCTAAGCTTTGTTTCCTGGCAGTTACTAAAACCGTCTGCCACTGCCATAGCTGCTGCTGCTACTTGAACCACCATAGCCACCTTGGTTCCGTGGTTTGGCAAAATATTGACCACCACCACCGTAAGGGCCAGAGCTTCTGCCTCCAAAATTTCCTCCCTTCATGGGTCCAAAATTTGAAGACTGATTGTTGTAATTGCCAAAATCATTGTAGCTTCCACCACCTCCAAAGTTGCTTCCATCATTACCAAATCCATTATAACCATCTCCACTGCCTCCATATTCTCCACCGCCACGACTGCCACCAAAGCCACCTCGTGCACTGAAGTTTCCTCCTTGATCAAAGTTGTCATTCCCACCGAAACCGCCTCCACAGCCACCACCAAAGTTTCCAAAACCACTTCGACCTCTCTGGCTGGAAGAGGCACTGGCCATCTCTTGCTTTGACAGGACTTTCCTCACTTCACAATTGTGACCATTCACAGTATGGTATTTCTGAATATCCGCCACCCTTTCTCAAGACTAATAGGGATTTCTGTCCACATTTCTATGTACTACATGCCTTTATACAACTCATCTGTGCAATTAACTGCATCTGAAAACCTGCCAAAGTGAGAGCTATGGATCAGTCCTGACTCCATAGTACACAATGACAACAATTATACAACTCTACTTCCCCTTTATTTTTTTGAAAAATAACTCTTAATGAATACTCTCCTTCTTATAATGTCAAAGTTAAAGCCATTTTTGTTCCATCAGAAGCAACTTGTATTTGATCCTGCAAAAGATTTTTGGAGCTTGTATATATCCTGATGAGAATGTAAGGGAAGTTTTGGGGGATCATGTTTGATGTGTATTACTGCTCTTTCCCTCTCCAGAGTGGCTATCCTGGAGCCTTTGCCTAGGGTGGAGGACTGCTCTAAGGTGTGGCTTTAAAACCCTGGAGGAGGAGGGCATCGGACTGCAGCCCAGGGCCTGGAGCCTCCACTCTGGGAGTTTGGCTGCTACTTTGCTTCTTGATGGCATTCCTGATGGGCACATAAGGGAAGTTTCTGGGGTCGTTTTGATGTATATTACTGCTCTTTCCACCCTGAAGAGCTGGTGTCCTTAAGCCTTTCCCTAGAGTGGAGGTTCTGCAGCCCTCAGGCCAAATTATTTTCATTTTTAAATGAGTATTGCTTAGATGATACAAGAATCTTAACGTCTATTTGCTGAACTGAACAACTTGGTATTGCTGTGATGTTGCGCATGGTTCCATAATCTTGTCAAATACCATCATGGTTACCCATTATGTATAATGTTTGGATGAGCTTCCAGATTGATTTATGCTGACAAACAGAAGTGACATCCACTTCCTAAACTAGATGCCTCCGAACACTCTACAAACTCTCTAAATTCTATAAATTTACAAATAATGTTAATTATAGAAAAAAGATCTGCACAGAAATGATGTTAGAGAACAGAGTTCAGGTCATTTGTGCAAAACTTACTCTCAGTTGTATTCAACTTGACAGCACTTAACCACTGCTTAAATGAAACTAGTGCTGTTATATCTGGAGGAACGCTCTCCCACTTTGTACATCACTCTTTGTCAATGTGCAGTATGAAATAACTTGGATTTGCTGTGATGCTGAACCTTGTACCATTGGGTATCAAATACCAGAATGGTTTCCCAATGTGAACAATGTTTGGTGGAGATCCCAGTTGTAAAACAGATTGGAAAGTAGGAGTGGTATCCATTTCCTAAACCACATGTCTCTGGAAACTCTATGAATTTGGAGAAATGATGACAATTATGGAAAGGCATTAGGCCTTTTGTTCATAGAGTCTCTATGAGTCTCACTTAACTCAATGGAAATCAACAACAACACATATTAAGGGAGAATATTTTCTATCTTTGTCCCCCAAAGTAGCTGATAACTTGAACAGAGAGGCACTAGTTTTGGTTCAGCAGTACTTCAATTCTCTAAAAACTGGACCACCCGAACCCCTTCCAACTGTACTAATCTGAATAGAATTGTTTTTCTTAATTGTCCACATATTTGTCTTTTATGAAACCCTTCCTACATTTTAATATAAAAGCACCATGGCAGGGAATCAGAGCTAAATAAAAATTAAAAACAAATAATGTAGTTAATGAAATTAAAACAATCTTAGAAGAGAATGAGAACAGAGGAAGTTGCAAAACTGTTTCCTGAAACCCAGTAGCTGCCACACTTTTAAAAGTGAGAAAGTTTTTCTATTTATTTCTCCTAGAAACAAAATAATGTTGTTCTTGTTATTGTTGTCGTGTACCTTAGAGTCCTAACTGAGCCATAGATGACCCTCTGTGTACGTATGCAGAGGCAGGTATTCACATGAAGAGTTGATTTTCCATCATTCTCCCTTAGAGCAGCTGATGGCCTTGAGCCAGGTGCCTTCAGGATTGCAGCACAGCTTCTTGCATTGCTGGGAGGAAAACAAAATCATTAATACTTGTAATAATAACCAACAGCTTGATTCTGGTTGCTATGCAAAAAACTGGAAAATTCCCCTCAGTTCAATTGTATAATTTAGAGGAGAGCCAAGAGGAAGGGTTTAAATGTTTATACTTGTAGAAGACATTAAATTACAAACCTCCACTTCCAAAATATATGAAATTAATTATACTGATAATAAATTAACATTGACTTGTTGTTGTTATGTGCCATTGAGTTGCCTACACAAGAGCTCTGAATTCTGCTCTATTCTGAGCCAACTTTATTGTCTCTGACACACCTACCCCTATTACCCAAGTCACTGAATCAATCCATCTCATCAAGGATCTTCCTCTCTTGCACTGTCCCTCCACAGGCCCAACCATGATGTCCTTTTTCCAAGGACTGGTTCCTCCTTGCAACATGCCCAAAGTATATCAGATGGATCATCAGAATTCCTGCCTCTAAGCAAAAACCTGGTTTCAGCCTCTCCAGGATGAACCTGTTTGTTCCCCTAGCAGTCTATGGTATAATCAATAGTCTCCTCCAGCATCACAGCTCAAAGACATCAAATCTCCTAATATCCCTAATCACTGTCCACCTTTCTGATGTATACCAAGTAATTGCACAGATCATAGCCTGGATCAGACAGTCTCTAGACTGACATCATTGCTCTTCAGTACTCTGGAGAGGTCCCTGACAGCAGACTTTCCCAATGCATTTCTTCATTTGATTTCCTGGCTGCTGGTAGCAAGAGTGTTGGTTGTGGAGCCAAACAAACTAAAGCTGTTAACTATTTCAAACTCTTCACCATCTAGCATGATGTTGCCAATAGACCGAGTGGTGAGTTCTTTATATTCTTGATATTGAGTTTCAATCTATATTGAAGGCTTCAGTCCTTGACTTTCTGCAGCAAGTGCTTCAGGTCCTCCTCAGTTTCAGCAAGCAAGGTTGTGTTATCTGCATGACACAGGTTGTTTATGAGTCTTCCTCCAACCCTGATGCCACATTTCTCCTCATAAAATCCAACCTATAGGATAGTCTGTTCCGCATATAGGTTGAAAAGGTCTGGAGATAAGACACATCCCTGGCGTACACCCTTCCAGATTTTAAATCATGTAATATTTCCTTGTTATGTCCTGATAACTGCCTCCTGGTCCAAGTATAGGTTTTGGATAAGGAGAGTCAAGTGTTCTGGGATTCCTATTCTTCTCAGAGTCAACTGTAGTTTGTTATATCCACACATTCAAATGCCTTTGTATAGTCAATGAAACATAGATATATATTCATATGGTACACTCTACATGCAGCCAAAATGCATCTAACATTAGGTACAATATCACTAGAACCACAGCTTCTTCTAAACCCTGCATATCGGGCCAGTTCTCTGTTGATACGTTGTTTCAGTCATTTTTGGATAATTTTCAGCAGAAACTTGCTTGCATGTGATATTAATGATACTGTTTGATAATTTCTGCACTCTGATGGGTCACTTTTCTTTGGATGGGAACAAATATGGATCTATTTCAGTCAGTTTTCCAGGTGGTTGTCCTCCTGATTTCTTGGCACAATTTTATGAATTTATGTTTTGTAGATATTATTAGAACAAACAAATTAAAAAAAATGGTTGCTGCTTGGATAGTTGAAAGAACTCATTAAAAAAGGAAGTTAAATCATAAAGTTTAACCAATAATGAAATAATTTAAGTAGAAGTATAACAAATTGAATTAAAATACTGAAACAACAACAGTTTAAAAAAAGGCTTAACCTATTACTTTTTTAAAATGTTTATTTACAAGAGCCTATTTGGGTCCTACAGAACAAACACATGTTTTATTTAAATAATAAAATCACAAGCATTATGGTTGTGAAAGAAGCAGATGCCCTATGAGAAAGGCCAAGTCTGACTTCTACCTACTTCATGAAGGGAAAGCTTGTCCATAAATAGTATCCATAGTTATACAAATAGTCATATAGTCAGTCAGACGTGCCATCCCACAGTCTTGTGTACCTGTTTTCACTAGTCATTGGGTCCGACATTTGTTGCAAGACTCACAGACCTTGTTCACATATATGAAGTTAATAGAGAAGTAGGTTGAAGAGTTGAGGAGGCAATGCATATCTCACAATGGTTTAGCCCAGTACAGCCAAGCCAGATTAACAAGGTACAATTCTTCAATTAGTGAAAGTCCAAGTTCATTTCAGTAGCACAAAAGCAAGAAACTTCTATTTTCATCAAGCATCTAGCAAATTTTATCTCAAAGCAGCTATAAATTTGACTTACCTTTTAATTGTCTAGGAAGCAAACCTATTAACTGTGCCCTTGATCTCCAGAATTCCTCTGGTTACACCTTGCCATAGTCTCTTCACAGTAGGCCATAGTCTTTTTACAATCTCTCCACCACCATCTTCATAATTTTTTTATATTATAGAAAGCACTCTCTTACCTTGGCCCTACAACTGTAGATGATTTGAAAGACCATATGTCTACAGTTAATTAGCTGAGGACCATGTCTCCCCAAAAGGGCTAACATATTGGTTAGGAAACTAATTTTCAAAGGTTCTGGCACTGTAATAGTATAACATTTTAATAATTTTTAATGTTTTGTTTTCATGATGAGAACAACTTTTAATACAAATATTTTTTCTCCTAGCTTTCAAATAAAATATGCACTGAAATAGACAACTGATTTAGATAAAGTGAGATAAAATAAAATAAATTTTTCTGAGCCTATGATCTTGTTCTTACTGATTATAATTGAACATTTTCAAAACCTCAAAGAAAATTGTAATACCATCTCATTTTTATTGACTTCAATAGGGACTGTAGAGATCAGTTTTACACTATCCCTTACTCATGGAATAGATGAAGAATTCTGAACATTATGGGAAGCAACTTTAGTTTTTTTCAGGTAATTTGCAAGGTTTTGGAAATTATTGGAAGTTTAAAGATAACAATGTCGCACACACACTTTAAACAATTAAAGTTGAGTTACTTTAGTTAAATGAGTAAAATTATCCACTTATACATGATTATAT